ATTTATTATTTGTAATTTTATATTATTAAAATAGAAAAGGTACGTAATTATTCACTAATCAACAACTGTATATAGGTAATTATTCGCACTAGAAAAATCAGTCTTATAATATTAAAATTTTGGTCATGGAATAAAAAAATCAGTACTTGTTACAGAAATCAACAAAGGGTACATAATTATTCAACAATTGTAAATAATTATTTGCACTAGGTCTAGTCATAAAATATTAAAATCTTGGTCTTTAACTCAATCGGTACTTAATATAGAAAACAACAATTAAAAATAATTAATAAATTATAGGTAATATTAGTCTTAAAATAATAAAAATCTTATGGAATAATAAAACATAAATGTTTAGCTGGCCAAAACAAATTTTCTAACGTGGTAGAGCCATGCTGCAGTTATATTACGGGAGTTAGTAGTTGTAGCACGAATGGGTCGGCTCAACCGGGGAAGAACCACGCTCTCATGGAATATCGGCATCAAATAGTAGCTTAATGCTGCTGTGTTTCGTATGGTAAGTGTAGAGAACCGGAGACCCTCTTTACTGGAAACGAGGCATTCCATCTAATTAATTTTAAATTCGATAATTTTAAATTTCCGAAAATTCATCATCGTCGACGCTTTCTAAAATCCGAATGAGTTCTGAGGAATCGTTCATGTTGCACTGCACTAATTTTCCCGCTAATCGCTTATGACGTCATCAGTGTGTCGTCTATACTTGACCACGGCGCCCAGTGAACTGATTTTCGATGTCGCGCTAAGGATGCGCCAGAGTTGAGATATTAGATTTATTATGCGAAGATAATTTGTTAATTTTTTTTAATTCATGTAGCTAATTATAGTTTTATATTTCTAACCTTTTGTTTTATTTAAATATCTATAATAATAGAAAAAAATAACACGTTTGAGCTTAATTTTGAATAGTTTTCAATAAATTTATGGCTAACGCATTACAACACTAGCGGTCTAACATAGACGACTTTGGCGTGCTGGACATAGTATTTGCTTAGATAAAAATCCATTTTTTTTTAGTTCAATGTTTCTTAGTACTTGTGGCTCTAGAAGACTTGTTTTTTATACTCACATGTTGCTGGGTTATTCTTTTTTGAGGGGTGTAGAATTAAAATACCAGTAATAATTTTCCAATGTCTATATTTCATAATTTTGTGGGCCGGGTTTTTTGTCATCTATAGACGTCATTGGCGCTCAGGGCACGCGGGTGCTGGTCACGTATAGACGACTTTGGCGCTCAAAAGGTTAAGAATCCGTTATAGGACTTCTACTATTTTTTCTACTAGCAGGGCCGCACCATTTTGAAATGAGGTGAAATATTTGACAGATTTCATAGCCCGGGAAGTTAACTTGTTAGGAATGTTCTTTATTTATTCTCAACAATACAAATTGTGTTGAATAATTCATGCAAAAATACAATTGAAAAGCTTAATACCAAATTTACAATTATATATAATATATATAAAATTACAATAAAATATAAAATTACTATAATTAGTATACAATTAAATTATATAAAATGGCAATAACTATAAAATTACAATTATATAAAAATTACAAGTCAAATCTCACCACTATCAATAAAATTTAAAGTATTAAATATCACAAAATAATAATAACTATATTTGTCGGAAAAAATACAATTATTTCTTAAAATGTCATCAAAGGTTTAAAAACATTGAATTTTATGTAATAGCATTAGCATGTAGAAACTCGTCAACACTATAATAACATTTTTCCAGTAGTGACTTTTTAAAGTATTTTTGAAGCTACTCTTGATTAACATATTTTTTAAATCATTGACATTTTTTTAATAGGTAATCTATTAAAAAGAAGTACTGATTGATAATAAGAACAGTGTCTAGTCATAACCATACGAGGGATGATTTTATTATGAAAGTCTTTTCTCCTGGTGTTTTCCCTTATGGTTTTTTGGCCTATGGTCTCATATTCGCCAGTAACTTTTGCAAATTGTGTAATTAAGACCAGTATATACAGGCATGGAACAGTTAAGATTCCAAGTCTTTTGAAATGTATGCGACATGATTCTTGTTGTTTTATCCGGATCATGGTTCTGATTGTTCTTTTTTGCAGAACAATGGCTTTGCGTACATTATATTTAAAGCTCCCTCCCCAGAATAAAATGCTGTAACGTAGTCTTGACTCCACCAATGCGTAAATATATAAGGACTGTACAATCTTGTTTTCAAGTTTTGAGGTAACGTGAAAAGAAGATATGTCGTAATCTCCCGATCGCTGCCCAGCCAAATTGAATCCATCTGTTGACGTTGAAGTTGAACTTACCTAGTAGGACTAGGTAGACATAACAGTCGACAACTTCGAGCATAGTGCTTCCATCAACTTATATCAATTATACACAATTTTGTACTCACTTATATATTATTTTATTTGTTGATGACACAACTGTTATATATTATAATGAAATTGACATTAACATGAGCTTAATAAACCTAATAAACTAGCTACAAAAGAAAAATATAAAATTAAAACTAGAAAGAACTAAAATAAGGAGGATAAGGAAATTACGAAAACATCCAGAAGTAAGGCATTCACATTGTTACAAAACAAACAGAAATTAATTCCTCGGCATACACAACATGAATTGCAGAACTCACATAAAAATGTTTATAAAAAGTGACTAATTTCTCATATGCTTTATATAGACTAAACAAAAAATCATTATTGATAGCTTACCACGGATATGTACCAGCAATCATTAGATATGGTATTATCTTCCGGGATACTATAATCGCAGTAATGTAAATACTGTATTCAGGGAACAACAGCGCTGTGTACGGGCAAAATGTGTCATAAAACGAACGGATGGTTGTAAGCCACATTTCAGGGAACTTAAAATGTTGACCCTATCGTCGTTATATATTTATGATACGGTGAGGTTTGTAGTACGACACCGGCGAAGACCTTTACCCATTTTTCTAGTGATCGTCTACACAATATACATATTATATAAACAGCCCTGTTCAGATAAAGTTTTTTTTTGTTATGGCAACAAACCTCAACAACAAATTGCCTGAGGACATACGACAACACCAAGAACTGGATTGTTTTAAAGCAAAAAAAAAAATTAATAGCAATGCATTTTATTCAAGTTTTTTTTCATTTTAAGTGACATCAATTAATAAAAATATGTCAAAATAAATGACATTACATACTATATATATATATATTTTTTATATATATTTATTAATTTTCATCTTATTATTCATTTATTTATATTTATTCTACCTTCGTACTGAAACTTTTGCATTACCTACTTTTAATAAAGGCCGTTTGTTTTATTATTTTTTTATCCTTTATTCGAACTAGGGGTTCAAAAGGGCGGACTTAATGACCACACAAAGGACCATATAACATATTTGCGTGTGGAAATGAAATAATATTTTATATTGTATACCAAATGGTGGACCGCAACGCCACTGAGTTTCTTCCTTGTAAAACTCCTAATAACCTGTCGATCACAACAAAGTTGACTTGATTTAATTTGGTTTGAACAACTACTCTGGCACAGGTGTGACATAGACGTTCCACATGATGTACCGGTAGACGAAATGCAGGTCCCCCCACTAGATAGAGTGACGACCTGGTTAGACATGCGGGAAGTTGATGGAAGCAGGTGGCAGGTGGTGTGCTTTGTGGGATTCCTTGGGGGAGGCTTGTGCGACGTTTAACAGTAGACTTGTGAAGAACTGTAATAATGATGATATTAGTTTATTTTTTACTAATTAGATTATAAATGGATCAACTAAACTAAAGATATTCCTAAATCTAAAAAAATCTAAAAGATGTTAAAATGTGCAAAAATTTAAAGAACAAACCTATGGACTGTAGAAGTAAGGAGCACCAACTCCCATAGTAGAATAGTTGAAAAAGTGGCCATCGGTAAGCAGTAAATAACAATTCAAAAACTGTCAAAAACTCTCCACAACAGCGCTGGAGTAGCTATTGGGATGAAATGAACTTACCAGTTGTCGACGGTTTGAAGTGTGCTGCTAAACTGCTCAGTAGCTCTAAAATCTAAAATAATTTTATTTAGTAAATATAACCTCGAAAAAGTCGTCTATCCCACTAATATTTTTCGGCGCGTTCTTTAAAATTTAGCCCGTAGCTATAGTGACGCCACCCTTATTTAACGGTTTTCTATGGACACTTTAATACACAGTCTGAATTCCTTACTTCTACACTCCATAAACAAACCACTAAGAATTTGTTTTGTGTGTATGCATACTCTGACTGCCTCGTTGGTCTAGTGGATGTAGTAGTGCGACTGCCGATTATGGGGTCCCGGGTTCGAATCTACACTATAATCTTGTCCTGCGCCGATGGCTGGTCTTCGTTGAGGCTGGCTGCCGTGGCCGAAATTGAAATTCAACACTTCTAGAATTCTATAAACTTTATTTAAGCAACTTCTCAATTATTTGTAAATAATGTTTATTAGTATGACACTGTTTACCAAATAACTTCATCTCAGTCGGCTAGCGACATCTGATGAGCGGAAGTTCGTTCTTTGAGAAAATATTTAAGTTAAAAGTAAATAAATAGGCAAGTGAAATTTATTTTAGAAAACGTAAAATTCAAAAACTAATGTATTAGAAAAATATGTACAAGTGTTATATTACGTAAACATATAATTATGCTTGAACTGAAATGACGGAAGGTGCTCGTACATAATGTGTAAGTGGAATGTCATGACGAATGAACGCATTGAACCCGTTATTAATTGCTGATCATAGCGATCGCAGAAAAATAATTATCAGGTCCGTGGAGCGTGAACGCTTTCGTTTTCGCAGGACAGCTACGTATTTGCCAGTTGTTGAAACCACCACTAGTAAGTAATTCGAGAGCACACCTTAGCTTCCCAGCTCAGTTGCTAAGTGGACATCGGCTATCCTCAACGTCTTGTAACGATGTTCATAAGCTTATAGTTTTTTACATACGTGATCAAAATGTACGATAAAATAGTACTTATTTTACTTATTGTTTCGTTAAGTTATGAAAAAGTCGAAGGAAGGAAATTGAAGAGAACTCAACAACCAAAAGAATCGGATAATCCAGCCCCACAACCTAATGTTTTAACGTATTCCACTTTTGGCTTTAACGACGTTGGGTCCCACGATGGGTTTATTGAAACTTCCCCAGATAATGCAAATTATCTCACTAAATACAGGGAGACGTCAGAGAAATTATATGCACCGGCGTTTCCGTCGGCCATGGATTCTGATTTTTCAAGTAATTCTCAGTCTTTAAACGGAGAGGTGACTGGTGGTGGTGATGGCGCAACAACAACAAGTATGTCACAATTTAATTCTGTAAATAATTATGGTCCTAATTTTAATTCAGACAACAATTTAAATAAGAACTCGGCCTCTGATGTAGATTATAGTCTAAATTTAGCAGAAAATAATAGGCCAGTTTATGGGTCAAAGATAAGCACTGCAAATAGAAATATGTCATCTAACTGGTATAAAGACACAGAACCTAATAATGGAATATCGTATCAAAATAAACATAAATTTTCAAGTTACCGTGAATCCCCTTTGTTCAGTGGACATCTAACATCGTACAGCGAGTCCAATGATAATAATCAATTTATTCAAAATTATGCCACAACCTATCCGACGACGGAAATAGAAAATTCAATGAATGCCGAGTCATTAAATACGCATAACCTATCAAAGTTTCCTAATATTGGTGATTTTACGAATACTAAATCATATGATACATTTGAGTTAGAAAATAAATATTCGTTAGCTACATCAAAGCCATTAGAAACATTTAACTCGATGGTAAATAACGTAGGTGACGATAGGCTTAATAACTATTACGAAGACCATAGTAATAAATTAATAAAAATATCTCCAAGTTTTAAAAATACATTTGAAAATAAAGGAATTGAGAATATTATTTCATCGAATCAAAACGTAAACACTAATCAGGAATATTTAAGTAAACATTCAAATGTCAAAAATTATTTCAAAAATAAAAAGTTAAATAATGAGTATAAAGATGAACAGAAAACTAATCCTTGGATTCTTGAAAATGGCAATAATTATGTTAACAAACGCATTAAAAACCATAGGAACGGTTATGAATATGCGACAAATTTTAGCAGTGCAAGTTTCAAGTTTGACGATAATGAACCTAAAAAACAGTACAATTCTAATATTGACGAAATTATCCCTTCGAGTAGTAATATTAATGATTTTACAAATTACAAGTTTCCTGAAACCGAATATTTAAATTTTAAAGCTAATCCCAGCTTTAGAAATACGTTTAACAATGACAACTCAGGTGAATTATCTTACATAATAGGAAATAAATATAACCCATCCCCTGATTACTTAAACAAATTTAAAAATGTACACAGTAATGTACCGACTTCTATAACAAATTGGGGAAATGTTTTTAAATCCACGGACTACTCATCTTATAAAAAACATATTCCGAAAGCTCAATTTAACGATGAGGAAAACTTTGACATTGTACACATACCAAACGGGCAAAATAATTATAGACATGGTAAAGATTCATCCGACGGTATTGCGAACGATTGGCCAATATATAATAACAAGCCGAGTATATTGCAAAGGCCGAAAAATGAATGGAGTAAAGAAAGTTTTAATAACAGATTCAAATCAGAAGAGGATTTATTAGGATTGAGAAACCATGACACTTCACACCCCACTTACCTGCCATCATTTCAGTACCCTGTAACAGACAACCCTGAAGAAAGTTTCAAAACTACCGTAGAAAAATGGAGAGAGAACTATATTAAATCAAAGTATCATGATACTCCAACGTACGATTATGAAGCTTCCGAAGCAAAATACTTTCAGCCATCAAATCCCTATCAAGTAAGTATAACATTTTTTGCAGGCAATTAAAGTTAAAGATATAATACAGATAGAACTCAGCCTAGTTTTATTATAAATATGTTAATATGGCTGTAGTGTAAATATGATAGTTGTCTACGTTTTTTTTAAATGTTTTTAGCTAGTAAGTAAAACAAACAGAGAGGAATGCGGATCGGTGGCTATCGATGCGCGTCTTGCGCTAATTTTCTCTCGTCATTTAGGTTATTAACATTACGCGTATTAGCTTGAAATCATGAAGTTCTATCACTTGATGTCGTTTCGATTTCGACAGACAACATATTTATATCATGTCTTTGAGTACTTACAACTGTTTCAATTTTCTGGTATGTACTCAATAATATAATAAAATGAATTTGATGCAAATGTTTTGAGGCCATAATAGTGTTAATTATTCACACATTAACCTCAATTATTATTAGGTAGGTATATAAGAAAGAACTACGTACTCATTAACTCTTATAACGCTTTTGTAAAGCGCTACATTTTAAGTTACATTTTAGGATTTACGCACAGAAATCGTAATTATTACGATTTCAGTGGATTTACGCCTGTATTATCGAGTTTACTTACATTAATTGCACAAGGTAAAACACCCGAAAAAAATATTTGTAGGGCATATAAATACTTGTTCCGTGTGAGATTCGAACCCAAGGCCGCTGTGCTATGGAGCCGTACGTTCGTAATATACTTTATAAAAATGTCCGTATTTTCCTACTCGTATGAATATGGTTTTCTGTTCATATATTTTTTGGTTTATACATATAAGGGACTTCTACATAAAACACTATTAGGTACTGTCAATCGATGAAATAGATCACGAAATAGTAAACGTGTCAAAAAGTAATAAAATATAACAAAAGTCGATGGTATTCCACTTAAGTTCTATTAAGGTTATTCTCTGTAATATCAAAACTCGGTCATCGAATAAAATGTATTGTGTAGAAATCACTGTGTGATTTTGTGTACTATCAGATTTTGCAAAACCATTTTGTTGCTGTATTTTATAATTTATAGCTCGTGTTTAGATCATCTGGTTTCATTTACGGGTCCTGTATGCAGCCGGTCCTAATATTTGTGCTAAAACAAAAATTGTTGCTTTCCGGAGCATTTAATTGTTTGTGACTTCGATCAATAATTGTGACATAGTATCCCAGCCAAACTCATGACCTCCAATTTTAAGGTTATATTTAATTTGTATTTATCATCATTTTTTATTTATTAGTAATCCAAAAATATTCGTTTCCCGGTATTGGTTCCAATATCAGGTAGGTTATCAGTAGGTTTGTTCAAATATCAGTAGGTTATCAGGAAATATAAGTTTGTATCAGAGGGGAGTAGCCATAGCGTTTATTCACGATACAGAACTGTCTGTCATTTTTTGCGGGGGAAATCTGCGTACAAAAAACAATCGTCTGTCACTACGAAACCCCAAAAAAGTAAAAGCAGTAAAAACAATGAACTGACAATTTCACACTCACAGATATATTATAACAGTATCGCTCGATGACAGCAACAACTCGGATACAGACTTAAATCAGTCGCTGGACCGATCTGCATATTGTATGAGGGCGAGCGGCCTGTGTTGGTAAACAAATCCGAAACAACGCGACCGTTACAACTGTAATTTTCCAATAAAAAAAAAAAGAATGTGATTAATAAAGTTACTTATACATGAAAGGCTTTTTGTAAATTTGACGTGACAGATTTATTTTTGCAGCAAAAACTGAACAATTCGGCATTTTTGTAGGACGTCGATTCATCCGCGCAACTAGATTTAGTCTAGTGAGTAGTGTTACTGCAACTAGTTTTATTATATGCGTAGGACCACATGGACTTATACTTTGATAGTTATGGTACCAACGTATGATTACTCCCCTACAGTCCGCCGGTGACGCGTGTTGCTCTACCAACGAAGAGATGTCTTTTAAGTTTAGATATTTTTGCATATTTACGTCTCTGATATTTGTGACCCTTCATTTTGCAGATGGCAGAGGTTACAAATATGAACATTAAGACGCCTTATAATGACTCATGATCGCTTTGCATGACAATATGAAAATATTTTTCATTGTGTGCTTAGTAGTTTTTCCTATTCACACATTCATTTCATCACTGCATGCTTTGGTTTTACGTCTATTGCACGGCATGGCTTAGTAGTTCTTCCTCCATGTAATAATCATTTTGCAGATACAAGTGCCCCATCCGGTGGTAGTACCAGTACCGCAACCTTATCCGGTACGAGTCCCAGTAGCAAAGCCGGTCGCAGTGCCGTTCATGCGGGAGATAACCGTACCGATAGAGAAGCCAGTACTGTATCCTGTCTTCAAAAAGGTTCCATATCCCATTGAGAAACTGGTGCCCGTGTCTGTTCAAAAACAGGTAGTCTGTGTAATGTTCCTACACACGTTTTACTACTCTAAAGCTATATTTTTGGCGGTTTTCAGATTTTAAGTACAAGAATAAAGTAAAAATAAGGAAACACTATAAATTGCTATGAATTAATTTTCTCTGTACCTACTCCGTTAGGATGCCCTAAAACTTATAATACTAATGTAAACTATAGATTATAAAGAATAAATCGACATGCATTTCATTAAGAATCCTTAAAATTTGTGGTGGGCCCATTATCTATGTACAAAAAGAAATTGTCTTCTTTGCAATGCCCGAATGGAGAGTAATGCATAATATATAATTGATCGAAGCATAGTATTATGTTTTAGTATTATGTTTTTCATTGGATGTATGTATGATGTTTGTGTCCTTCTGTAGCTTAAAGAGTTCGATGGATTTTGAAATATGACGTGTCTGATATTAAATGTAATTAATTGTAAGTGTCCAATTAAAAAAATAAAGGGTTTTTGATGAAACCTAAGAGTATCGTAATATGAATAAGCCACGTTTTGTAATGAGACCGTTAGAATTTATTATTTTTACTGTAGACTTACGAATTTAGTATTGTCGCATGTATTTTTTATGGTTGTTAGATCTAGATTATTGCACACATTTATGCAATTATTCGCACAGTGTTATTAGAAATTAAAATCTTTTATTTCTATTTAGACTTTTTTAAAACATCTTCAAATCACCGGTTAAATTCTACACCGGTTCGGAAAACAAGACTTTCTTAGGCAATCAACTCTGAGGTCTTTGATTTTTTCAAATGTCATGTAACGATTTCGCTTACAAAAGTTTATAAAAATTAAATGTCAATTTTAACAATATATCAGTAGCTAGTAGGGGACTTGCATGTGTAGATTACGAATTTTTTACACAAATTATTGTCCTCATTATATCCACGTATTTTATAGCAAGTCTGTAACAAGAGATTTTTTTAATTTAAAGTCAGACTGTTGTACTATATTTTAGGAAATGAAATTTTAAAACTTTTTTGTTTATTTGAAAAACATTTTCTTGTTTTAGCCAATCTGAATTTAGGAGCTTCTTGTCTAGCACTTCGACGCTTTGTACTGGTGACATCGACAGTCCGTTTTATATTAAATAAATGTATATTTTTCATACGCATTCATACCCTGGGGACTGACGAGAAGATCCTGGAGCTGCAAGAAGAGATAGACAAGCTGCGCTGGAATATTATAACATTATACGAGGTCGGAAGAGAGGGGGAGGACACGGTGATTCTCGAATCCGGCAACTTGTTCTATCACCGGGAGGACGACCATCTGTCCCAAGGAGGTGTTGGTTTTATCGTCTACAAGTCTCTCGTTAACAACGTTTTAAAGATTGGGAGTGTATCAACGAGGGTTGCGTACCTTATACTCAGAATCACCAAACGGTATTCGCTGAAGGTCATACAGGTTTACGCGCCAATGTCGGAATATCCCGATGAGGAGGTGGAGGAAATGTATGCGGATATTTCTAGAGCTATGCATTCCTCCAAAACTCACTATACGGTGTTAATGAGAGACTTCAACGCAAAACTGGGCACAAGAAAGTACGATGAGCTGAAGGTAGGGAAATTTGGGATAGGGCAACGGAACCCAAGGAGCCAGCAGCTGGCCGACTTCATGGAGAAAGAGGGAATTTTTATGATGAACTCTTTCTTCTAGAAGCGGCCCCACAGAAAGTGGACCTGGTCGAGCCCCGACGGTTCGACAAAAAATGAGATTGACCTCATTATGACGACCAGACGCCACCTGTTTAGTGATACCTCAGTGATCGCGAGGGTGAAAACTGGCAGCGATCATCGAATGGTTAGAGGCACACTGAACCTAAACGTTAAGTCTCGTCTAATGAAGTCAACGCTCTGTCCCTCTCGCGCTCTAATCCAGAATCTCGAAACCTTTCAGCTCGAGTTACGTAACCGCTTTCAGTGCCTAGAAGATTGCAATGCAGTGGACGATATGAATGACAAGCTCGTGGAAACTGTCCATGCGGTCGGAGCTAAGTTCTGTAAGACCTTTCTCTTGGCTCGGGTGTTCCTTCCGTCTTGGTCCCGGCGAGGATAATACAGCGGAGCCTCTGAAAGCGGGTGGAACAGCGATACCTGAAGTCCTTCAGAAGCTGTTCAATTCCGTCCTCCATGGTGGCACTACTCCGGAGGTGGAGCAGAAGTGCGGTGGTCTTGTTCTTTAAGAAAGGCGACAACGCTCTCTTGAAGAACTACAGACCAATTTCCCTTCTGAGCCGCGTTTACGTGCTGTTTTATAGAGTCATTACGAATCGTCTCGCACGCAGACTCGACGACTTCCAGCCTCCCGAACAAGCCGGTTTCCGAATAGGCTTCAGTACCATAGACCACATACAAACCCTGCGGCAGATTGTACAGAAGACCGAAGAGTACAATTTGCCAATTTACCTTTCGTATGTGGATTATGAGAAAGCCTTTGATTACGTCGAAATTTGGGCGGTGCTACAGTCCCTACAGCGGTGCCAAGTTGACTGTCGGTATATCGAAGTGCTGAAGTGCATGTGCAGTGGGGCTACGATGGCTATCCGAGTACAGAACCAGAGTTCGAAACCTATCCAACTGCAGAGAGGTGTAAGACAGGGTGACGTTATATCCTCGAAACTCTTCACCGCTGCATTGGAAGACGTTTTCAAGCTACTGGACTGGAAAGGAAAAAATAGCTTAAATATTAACATCAATGGCGAGTACATCACTCACCTTCGATTTCCCGACGATATAGTCCTTATGGCAGAATCACTGGAGGACCTAAGCACTATGCTCAATGACCTCAGTGGTGTCTCCCAACGGATAGGTCTTAAGATGAACATGGACAAAACAAAGACCATGTTTAATGTCCATGTCACACCTATGCCGGTAGTTGTTGGGAGCACTATGCTCGAAGTTGTTGACGAGTACGTTTACCTGGGACAAATAGTCCGACTAGGTAAGTCCAACTTCGACCGAGAGGTCAATCGACGGATTCAACTTGGCTAGGCAGCGTTCGGGAAATCACGACACATCTTCTCGTCAGGTATACCTCAATCTCTGAAAACTAGATAGTACAACCAATGCGTGTTGCCAGTGATGACTTACGGATCTAAGACGTGGTACTTCACTGCTAGCCGTATGAGGACGCTCAAGGTCGCTCAGCGAGCTATGGAGAGGGCTATGCTCGGAGTTTCTCTGCATGATAGACTCAGAAATGAGGATATCCACAGTAAAACCAGAGTGACTGACATAGCCCAACGGATTAGTAAGCTGAAGTGGCAATGGGCCGGCCATATAGCTCGAAGAACCGATAACCGATGGGGAAGAAAGATACTTGAGTGGCGGCCTCGTACCGGTAGGCGTAGTGTAGGGCGACCCCCCACTAGATGGAGTGACGACTTGGTAAGATATGCAGGAAGTCGATGGACGCAGGTCACGCAGGTGACTCAGGACCGTGCTTTGTGGCATTACTTGGGGGAGGTCTATGTTCAGCAGTGGACTTGTGAAGGGCTGTAATGATGATGGTGATGATGACATTTAAATACTTTAAATAATAATAAGGTACTATAATGTATTAATCACCAAATATAATCATCTAAGACAATTTTGTGTAGTAAGTACTCGTAGAAGATCCTTTGTGTAGACCGAGTACCAATCCCTAGGGAATATATGACGATAGGCGATAGAACGCATTACGAATGTCATCCACACAATCAAATATCTACTATTTAAAAATCAATAATATATAAGGGAAAAGGGTCACAGCAGGACTGTAAAAACTACCGTGGTATCAGCCTTCTTAGCATTGTGCGAAAAATGTATGCTAAGGTACTAATTGAAAGAGTTATGAAAGAAACTGATGAAAAAATTTGGGATGTGCAAGCGGGATTTAGAAAGGGAAGGGGTTTATTTTGTGGAATTAAGTTTTTTGGCGTTCATGGACTTGGAAAAGGCTTATGACAGAGTGGACAGGGATGTGTTATGGCAAACGCTGAACGCATTTAGGTTGAGCGCTGGTTTGATACAGGCATTAAAGTCTCTGTATAGGGACTCGAGTGCTTGTGTTAGAATCAACGGGGTCTACTCGGACTGGTTTGGCATCCATAAAGGTGTCAGACAGGGCTGTGTAGCTTCCCTGTGGCTGTTCAACCTATTTATGGACAGCTGTTTGGAAAATTTGAAAGTTGAAGAATGCGGGTTAAGAATGGGTGAGTTAACCATCAAATGCCCTTTGTACGCCAATGATCAAGTCATACTTGCGTCGTCGGCGGCCGAGTTACAAATGATAGTTACATTAATGAACAGGTCATTAAAAGAAAGGGGAATGAAAGTGAACGCAAGTAACACGAAAGTGATGGTTTTTGAAAGAGATGAAAGCAAAACGGTATGTGAAATAAGAATAGAAGGAGAGTTAATTGAGCAAGTGGATGAGTTCGTATATTTGGGATGTGTATTCAGCAGGGATGGAAGATATGATAAGGATATTGAACGACGAGTGAATGCAGGAAATAAAGTAAATGGGGCTCTACACTCTATTGTGAAGAACCAGAATGTGTCAAAAAAGCACGTATGGTAATTCATAACGCTGTGTTAGTCCTTACTTTAACGTATGGTAGTGAAAGTTGGGAGTGGCAGAATAAGCACGAGAGTAGAATAAATGCAGTAGAAATGCGGTCGCTAAGGAGTATGTTAGGGCTGAATCTGAGTGACAGGGTGAGAAACTGTGTGATAAAAGAAGAGTGTGGTTTGCAAGATGATGCGGTGACCAGGATTAAGAAAGGAATGCTTCGGTGGTTTGGTCATGTAGAAAGAATGAATGCGGAAAGACTGACAAAGCGAATATATGTTGTAGAAGTGAATGGAAGAGTCGGAAAGGGACGTCCTAGGCGGAAGTTTGTCGACCAAATTGGCGATATACTAAAAATGGGCCAAATTAAGAGTACCCTTAACCGACGAGCATGTATGCGTAGGTATATGGATGTGGAAGAGGCGAGAAAGGTATGTCAGGATCGTGCTAAATGGAAGTCTGTAGTCTCTGCCTACCCCTCTGGGTGACAGGCGTGAGTGTTTATGTATGTATTAAAAATCAAGGAAGACACCGATAGTGCCGTGGTACTCTTCCCATTTACATTTACTTAATTTATGTATGTTTTACAAGTGTTTAGCCTTAAACCGAAAATTATAATTTAATTAAAGGTTCCAGTACCAGTAGTAAAACCGTATCCAGTACCAGTTCCTCAAGTTAGGCCGGTGTTCCATCACTCACGGCCGTATCGCGACGAATTCGACTTGGACCAAGACTTTGATGACGGCGAGGAATATCTTCCGCGACCAGAGAGCAGTAAAGTTGTTTATAATAAAAGACCTAAAAGGTATGATCTGATGAAAATATATCATCACATTGTCAAATTTATCTTAGTGTCACAAAGTCAAATTTTATTCAATTTATACCTATTGAGCTCTCATGAACTTTATAATTTACACCGGTTGGAAAAACACCAGAGAAGTCACTGTGTTACTTGTGTTTAAAATATTGAGAGATAATGATTTATGTTCGATTACAGGAATTTTATTCTCCTATGTATCCTACATTTTGTGGACCTGAAAAATGAAACAATTTTAAGCCTTCATAATTTTCTTTTATATGGTGTTTATTCACAACATTCTTGCACTATAGAAATTTAAATCGCTGCAGCTGTATCGTGGCTTCAGCACGGAATGGATCGGTTCGAACGTGGAAGGACCATGCTTTTACAGAATACCATCGTAAAATTACAGCTTAATGCTGCTGTGTTCGTACGGTGAATATAGAGAACCACACTCGAACACTGAAAGCAGTTTGTACTTTAACGTGACGTGAGGCGCAACTCCTTATGCTGTTCTACGAAAGTAAATTCAACGCAAAGCGGTGCTGAGCAGCGTAAATATATTATCAAACCGTAGCTAGAAAAGCTTGCAGTTTATAACTTTGCACCAAAATGTCCTTAGGGTGCTTGTGCACTATATGTAATTTCACTATCCGTAATGTCATGCCAGTAGCACCGGCGCGGCGGTGAAAACACGAATGAACACTAATTGTGTTTTATATGTTAGATATGGGCATTTATTTTACGTCGCTATTTACAGTAACTAGCTTCTGTCAAAAACTAGTGATTTTTACGTTACATTACAAAAAATAAATGAATAAAGAGAAACAAAACAAAAGTGTTGCTGCGTGTTTATTGTACATGTTGTATTTTCGCTCTCATACATTTAAAAAGTATGAAAACACGAATGAACACTAATTGTGTTTTATATGTTAGATATGGACATTTATTTTACGTCGCTATTTACAGTAACTAGCTTCTGTCAAAAACTAGTGATCTTTACGTTACATTACAAAAAATAAATGAATAAAGAGAAACAAAACAAAAGTGTTGCTGCGTGTTTATTGTACATGTTGTATTTTCGCTCTCATACATTTAAAAAGTATGAAAACACGAATGAACACTAATTGTGTTTTATATGTTAGATATGGGCATTTATGTTACGTCGCTATTTACAGTAACTAGCTTCTGTCAAAAACTAGTGATCTTTACGTTACATTACAAAAAATAAATGAATAAAGAGAAACAAAACAAAAGTGTTGCTGCGTGTTTATTGTACATGTTGTATTTTCGCTCTCATACATTTAAAAAGTATGAAAACACGAATGAACACTAATTCTGTTTTATATGTTAGATATGGGCATTTATTTTACGTCGCTATTTACAGTAACTAGCTTCTGTCAAAAACTAGTGATTTTTACGTTACATTACAAAAAAATAAATGAATAAAGAGAAACAAAACAAAAGTGTTGCTGCGTGTTTATTGTACATGTTGTATTTTCGCTCTCATACATTTAAAAAGTATGAAAACACGAATGAACACTAATTCTGTTTTATATGTTAGATATGGGTATTTATGTTACGTCGCTATTTACAGTAACTAGCTTCTGTCAAAAACTAGTGATTTTTACGTTACATTACAAAAAATAAATGAATAAAGAGAAACAAAACAAAAGTGTTGCTGCGTGTTTATTGTACATGTTGTATTTTCGCTCTCATACATTTAAAAAGTATGAAAACACGAATGAACACTAATTCTGTTTTATATGTTAGATATGGGTATTTATGTTACGTCGCTATTTACAGTAACTAGCTTCTGTCAAAAACTAGTGATTTTTACGTTACATTACAAAAAATAAATGAATAAAGAGAAACAAAACAAAAGTGTTGCTGCGTGTTTATTATACATGTTGTGTTTTCGCTCTCATACATTTAAAAAGTATGAAAACACGAATGAACACTAATTCTGTTTTATATGTTAGATATGGGTATTTATGTTACGTCGCTATTTACAGTAACTAGCTTCTGTCAAAAACTAGTGATTTTTACGTTACATTACAAAAAATAAATGAATAAAGAGAAACAAAACAAAAGTGTTGCTGCGTGTTTATTGTACATGTTGTATTTTCGCTCTCATACATTTAAAAAGTATGAAAACACGAATGAACACTAATTCTGTTTTATATGTTAGATATGGGTATTTATGTTACGTCGCTATTTACAGTAACTAGCTTCTGTCAAAAACTAGTGATTTTTACGTTACATTACAAAAAATAAATGAATAAAGAGAAACAAAACAAAAGTGTTGCTGCGTGTTTATTGTACATGTTGTATTTTCGCTCTCATACATTTAAAAAGTATGAAAACACGAATGAACACTAATTCTGTTTTATATGTTAGATATGGGTATTTATGTTACGTCGCTATTTACAGTAACTAGCTTCTGTCAAAAACTAGTGATTTTTACGTTACATTACAAAAAATAAATGAATAAAGAGAAACAAAACAAAAGTGTTGCTGCGTGTTTATTATACATGTTGTGTTTTCGCTCTCATACATTTAAAAAGTATGAAAACACGAATGAACACTAATTCTGTTTTATATGTTAGATATGGGTATTTATGTTACGTCGCTATTTACAGTAACTAGCTTCTGTCAAAAACTAGTGATTTTTACGTTACATTACAAAAAAATAAATGAATAAAGAGAAACAAAACAAAAGTGTTGCTGCGTGTTTATTGTACATGTTGTATTTTCGCTCTCATACATTTAAAAAGTATGAAAACACGAATGAACACTAATTCTGTTTTATATGTTAGATATGGGTATTTATGTTACGTCGCTATTTACAGTAACTAGCTTCTGTCAAAAACTAGTGATTTTTACGTTACATTACAAAAAATAAATGAATAAAGAGAAACAAAACAAAAGTGTTGCTGCGTGTTTATTGTACATGTTGTATTTTCGCTCTCATACATTTAAAAAGTATGAAAACACGAATGAACACTAATTCTGTTTTATATGTTAGATATGGGCATTTATTTTACGTCGCTATTTACAGTAACTAGCTTCTGTCAAAAACTAGTGATTTTTACGTTACATTACAAAAAAATAAATGAATAAAAAGAAACAAAACAAAAGTGTTGCTGTGTGTTTATTATACATGTTGTGTTTTCGCTCTCATACATTTAAAAAGTATAAAAAGACAAAACGTATTGGTAAAAATATTGAACAGATTGAATTTGATTGAAGTATTTAACAGTTAAATTAACTTAATACGCCTGCATTAAGTTCATTTGATTCTATAATATACGGTTTTATTATAAAAATGTAAAATCAAAACATGCATTCAATAATACAATAAACATATACATTTAATGCAGTCAGTTCTAAGTTAATATTACATTTATGATATAAGTACCCATAACTGCAAGACAAAAAGCTAAAAACATAAAGTTTGTGATAGGTAACATAGTCGCTCAATGTTTTCGTTTCCTTAGAAACTGAAATACCTTGCCTATATGGATTAATCAGTATCGTAAATTTACCGGATTATTACTCATTACTTACTCAATTTCTGGGAAAATCGCCTAATTTCCCACCTACAAGAGTGAACATTTTCTTTAAATTTTATTAAGGTCCCATTTAAACTGGGGAGTAAAGACTATTTAATAAAAATAATATTCAGAATCGGTCCACAATTGGCGAAGATATTGCGTAACATACATACATACAGAAACAAATAGTCAAATTAGGACTTACAAGAAGTCGAGTCGAAGTCTACTCCTTTATTGAGGTTGCTGAAAAAAGATAACTTAAAATATGTCACAGTACCATAATTTACTCAACTTTTAAACACAACTGAAGCCAAATCTGACAAAGTAGCAAAATATAGGTTTATGGCCAAACTCGATTCGGAGAATCAAAATGAAAAACTCGGGCGGAAAAATTATGGATACATTCCTCTATAAGAAAACACGACCAATACCAAATAGTTGTCTGCCGTATCTGATTGTAAAAAAATGAAAATTAGAGACGGTATTTTTACCGTGTAGTGCACGAGCAGCCTTGAGTTAAGCTTAATGCTCACGTAGGATGCCAAATTAGATAAAAACTGTTTTACGAAAAGTAGCCTGCGCAAGCGGCAACGCATGTTGCATCGTTTGGAACGGATGGTAAGCGTCCAATCTAAGCGTACACATTACGTACGTCCAAACCTCAACATGTATTCAGTCCGCTTCCGTCCTCTCACGGAAATGTGTACTTTCTTAATTAGTAAATAAATTCTATTTATATCTTAAAATACGCGTTACCTACATCGCATTGATCTGATCCTTATGGCGGCTGTACACTCTCGACGAGAGCACTCGCCATGCCTCTCGCGAGCCTCTCGCACGAGAAAGCGCTTTCACGAGTGTGACCTTGTACATTCTCGTTTATTCAGTTACGGTGATGGACGGCGAGGAGATGGACGCATGATTTCGACGGATGGATTTTTGTCTTTGTGGTAACGATGCGTGCGCTCCCACAAAATAGGTTCACTTTGATAAATTTCAAGAAAATTGAGTTCGCTTTCTTGGTTCTACTGTCTTGCGGTAGACTGAACGAAGTGCGAGTGTACAGTGACGGTGACGCACTCGTTTCCACTCGCGCGGGAAGGCGAGGCCCTTTGACTCGCGCACCAAAAACCGACACAAGCGTGAGAGCACGCGAGGCGAGGCGAAGGAAGGTAAGGCTCAGCGATAGTATCCTGTACACTCTCTTCCTCACCTTGCCTCGTGGGCCCTCGTCGAGAGTGTACAGCCGCCATTATGTTTCAAGCATATTATCATTTTCATGAAAATTTTGTTACGTATTTATAAGTTTTAAATATTTGTGACACTAATGACTAAAAATACACGCTGGCAATACAATCGTGTCTTTACCACACGGAACGTTCCAACGAAGTTCAAATACATTTTCATAAGAATTTGTTTTCAGTCCACGGCATCGTTCACGAAGACCATCCCGCATGTCCCAACAAGAACGTAGTAAGGGAAGAAGACCGCAGCGTGGACCAAACGGCTCCCGCGAAAAGGATGATCATCGCTATGTGCAATCTCCTTTAACAGATTACCAGCACTTCAGGAATCACGATGGCGACTTTGATGCCGAACGTGAACACAGAGAATACTTACTTTACTGTAAAAGAACTGGTAATTGTTAGATTAAAACATGCTTTCAATTATATTTTGTCATTGTTTTCCAAATGAACTTTTGTTAATACTGAAATATACGAGTATAGTATACTGGTCAGTGCGGTTAGAACTTATAAGTTCTATACTTTTTTGATTTCATATTAATTAGCAGTCTAGGTGATCTAAGAGACCAGATGAGCATATGTGTACATATCTTGTTAAAATGATAACCCTTCTTTTGGCTTTGCTGTAGTCGAGGAAAATAGTCAGAATTATAATCCTCCTTTTGGCTTTGGCGTAGTCGGCGAAAGAGTCACAATCAAAGGCATTTTCTATTCAAATCGGAATCGGGCTTTGGGATGCACCTACATACTTTTTATAATATAAGATTGACATACGAGTTAACAGACTTCGACGGTCTTCGAGATGGCATGTAACTGCATCCCATTAAAACCGACTTAAAACAATCGAAAGTATTTTATCAACCCCGAGCCACGAGGACAAGGAAAATGCTAATATTCATAATTAAGTATAATAAAATGTTATTAAATGTTTTCAAGTACCTAGTTCAATGATATTTTACTTTATATATAATATATTAAACTAATGAACAAATTAAAAGGAACACAAACAAGTGTATTTAAAACAAAATGTCAAGTATATTTGCCCCGGGTAAATTTATTAAAATGATACTCGTAAAAACTCGTAATGTTTGAGATACATGCTTGCAGGTGTTCTCAGTTTCAATTAAAGTAACATTATTTACTGTTACATTTAACGCGATTAACATGGCAATCAAAGGAAAACTAACTATAACCTAAATTTAAACTTAAATTAAAAAGATGGCAATTTCTTGCGCAGTATGAATGAACGCAATATCAATAGTTACATAAAATCCGATTGAAAAAAAGGAAATCGAAAAAAACACCATAACTTTTTTAAATAGCATTTATTAATGCTTGTGGCCAGTACGCACGATAATTACAACAGGCGAAATTAAAATTTTTTTTGCGTTCCTCTAAATTTGTCCATGAGTGGTCCAGTTGTATAATATTGATATTATAATTAAATACATAATATTAAAATCGTAGTTGTAGTGGATTTTCCTCAAATATCTTCTAAATGGATTTTTTTTCGCCCCTAGTTTATTCTATGTTTGAAAAAGTATACGAACGTCATAATTTTGATGAACGTATTATAGTCATGTGACTGTCCTCAGTCGATAATTCGCAGTTATTCTTGGTTAAAATTTTAATACTACCTGCTCTAAATTTTGTAAATATTTGATTATGTTTCTTCACACCATTTGAATGAGATAAGTTTAGTTGTTAAAATGTATTTGAATATTGTTATCATACGATTTTGTTATTTTTTTAAGTAAACTGTTATAAATTTAACGTAGTTTTTATTACAAACATATTCATATCTTTTTTTCACTTTTGTCTGATACAAAAGAAGAGAAAAAGAAGATAATTCTTATAATCCTTATCAATCTCATCGTTATTCATTGTCTTACAGTATCTGAAATCCTACTCCTGAATACCTACGAGCCTTCCCCAAGGAATGGGTTTGTCTCGAAATAATTTTGAATGAAAGTGGATTTTACGGGTTTTATCGCGTTTATTAACTTATTTTATATTACCGATGTTTAGAATATTACTCACGGTCAAGAGGATATTAAGGTATGCGGCGTCCCAATGTTAACCACGGCATCTTCAGTTTAAAGCTATTAATTTTTGGTCTGATTTAGGCAGAAATAACTTAATAAATCCTTATATCTTGTATCTTGCTGTGGTGTGCTTCGGCTGGTATTTAAATTTATTATTCATCCAGCTATCTTCTTTATTGAAATTATGATATTTTTTGATTTAAACAGCTTCACGAATCACCTTGGTTGGAATCGGTACCCTTTTGCCAGGATTTGTGTTCTATCAAATCTGAAGCAATGTCGGGGGATCCTGTACGTGTTCACAGACTGAAACCTTCTAAATAATTTAATAAATTTGCATAAATTAATGAAAGTAATTTAGTTTACATCCTATAAATTTTATTCTATCACAATATTTTAAAAGGGTCCTGATTCAGGTGAATTCTAAAGATCGTGCGTACAAAGTTGCTGATATTGCTAGCTTTTTTTTAGAATAATTAAATCCTTGTCTCAATTATAGTTATAAATGTATTATAACTTAGTTATGTAACTAAAATAAGTTTTGTAACGCTTCACATGTTTAATAAATACATTCCATTTTGTGAATTAGTTAAGATCTATATGAGTGTTTAATTACGCAGCGCGAGAGAATCCCGGTCGGTCGCGCACTGGCGCACGCTTTTACCAACGCTCCGATAAGCAACGTACACCTAGTGAATTTATGTGAATTGTTATTAAAATATCGAAATAATATACTTGAGGAAAGGTCGTTATTTGAAAAAATTTCTTCAAGTTTTAATATTTTGCGTTCCATCCGAATTTAATATGCCCATATTTACGGCAATAGTGAACAGGCTTTTGTTATGCTAAAACAGTGTGTTTCGCAATCTAGGACTGCATCACCACTTTCTACTTTCTGCTTCAAATGGTTAGGTTCGATTGGTGGTTTGATTAGGGGGTGGCTACTATTTTACTTTTCAAAATGCTAAATTTACCTTTATGCGCTTCACCTTACTGAATTCAATTTTTGTAATTGTTAAAAAATTACCTACTCAAAGTTGCCATCAATTTTATAATAGGCTAGTTTATAATAGTACTAGTTAAGGCACATTTATCAATTTTTTAAACATCTCTTCTTGCAGTGGAATAATATTTATAGTAATTTAATATAATATACATTCGGAAAAAATAGATAAAATTTAAGTTAATGTTAAAACTATAGTTAACATGAGAGAGTAATGGACCAATTAGACCGCCGCACCGAATGCGTGTTGACTGACATCGCATGTCTTCAAAATATGTTATTCATGCAGGTTTCCCTAAGATGTTTTCCTTAACTGCCAATCACGTGGTAAATCAGCACGTAAAATTGCAATTAACGACGATTTGTGAAGATTTTGCTATAAGAATAAAAAGCAAAACATGAATTTAAGTATTAAGTATTTAATTTATACATGGCTAAATTATTATATATATATATATATATATATATATATATATATATATATATATATATATATATATATATATATATATAAGTAAAATAATAAATAATTAATAAAAATATTATTAAATACTAAAATATATTTGTACATAAGAAATAATAGATATATTTGGGATATAAAAAATTATATTGTTATATTTTTATAAATAGATTCAATATATTTCGGTTTAATTAAGTTTGTTATAGGTTAGAGTACTTAACCATTTCGTTACGACTCTATTTACTAAAACTTAACAAGTCCCATTTGCACTAACAATGATGTTTTGAAAGACTATTTTTAAGTGGAGGCTGTTGCTTTTGGCTAAAAAAGATTTAATAAAATACGAATAGTAATTAAAATAAATTTTAAAATCAAGAAAGCATCTATGATGTATATGAGCCTATCTACCTAGAAATATACGAACCACGGCACAGATGTTTGTAATTTATTTGGGCTTTAAACAAAAAGCATGGAAAATTCTCAGTAAACCCAGGTAAACTTAACTTTATTATTTCTTTGTTCTCCGAGTTCTGCCAATTGTACTTAATTTTTTCTTGTCTTTTGCTGAACTGTCCGGGAATAGTACGTAATGCCTTAATTACTCACCTAATCCATCCATAACATGTATACTATCAGTGCTGGATTTATAACGTAGCAAGAGTAGCAATTGCTATGGGCCCCGTGCAAATAGGGGCCCCGCCATATCCAAACCTGCCTATCATTGTCTAAGCGTAGTTTTTTTGAGTGAAACTTATGAAAACGTAGTATATTGAATTACTTGATGTCCAAAAACTTAAAAGTTTGCACTTTTTCCATTTAAGACAATCCACGTGAGACAATCGATAATCGATTATTTCGTTGGCGAACACAGAATTTCATACAGACTCGGTTCTCGTGATACTGATCATGCGGGAAGAACTCTTTACGACTTTGCCTTGGTATAGGGTCTGATACAACTGGTCACTTCGCTTACCCGGATTCCAGATGTGAAGAATCTTACACCTTCTCTGTTGAACCTTTTGCTGACCTCTTATGCGGACGGCCATCAGGTCTCCGTCAAATTCCCTCTTGGCTCTTCGAATCACTGTCTGATCCGCAGTAGTAGAAGATTGACGCCGTGTATGGTACTATGCTCAGCGTATTGGGATTGCATCGCATAAACGTATTTGCTTCACGCTGGATGATCCCAAAAAATCGTTGCTGAGTTTGTCGCTGATGTGATGCTTCAACTTTACATCCCATCGTCTATAGTGCCAATATGCGGTAGATCCCAGCCTTTATTTGGATTCTCCTACAAAATTGAGTCGCGTCAAAAGCAGGAGTGTTTCATGGTCTACACTGACGCATCGGTGTTCCGAGATGCAAACACTAGCGCACTCAAAACGAAGTACAACTCTGCCTCCATGTCCTTTGAAAGAGTTATCGCTAGGGCAAAGTCGGAGCATATTGGGAGAATTATCAAAAACTATTTCGCCTTCCTTTGAAAACTCGTGCATTCCGATCCCTCGCCAAGGTTGCCCAAGAGAATTTCTGTAAGCCATGATAACCATCTTTGCGCAGGGAATATGACTCGCCGGCCCACGCCGCAAAGGGGAAAGTCGATCTTTTAGGTTATCTTTTGCATCTAACTTTACTCCGAACGATGAGGGAACATAACCCCGATCATCCAGCGGTGTAAGTGCTCAATACATGATGTGCTGTTTACAGCGCTCGGTGCGCAAAACGTTACTGCCCCTAGACGTCAACAAGTTAATGTGGGCTTGATGTAAAGTAAAAAGTAAAGTTACAGCCTATATATGTGCCCCTGCTGGGCGCAGGCCTCCCCTCATTTCTGAGAGGGTTTTAGGGCAAGGAAATGTCCGCCGCGCTGCCCCAATGCATGTTGGCGAACTTCACATGTCTTCGAAATTTTTATTTTCTTATTCCTTAGATATAGAGGTTTCCTCACGGAGTTTTCCTTCACTGTCGAGCACGTGGTAAATCAGCACTTAAAATTGCAATTCACAATTTCATTGGTGCCGGCGGAAATCGAACCCTGGTTACTCGCGTACTGTGTTATTTACAGCGAGCGTTAACCATTTGAGCTACCACGACTCGTGGGCCTGATGGAATCCCCCTATTGGGCTTAAGATATGTGCTGCAGAGTTGTTTTTTACACGCCTTTTCAAATTCTCTTACTCTTTAGGCGTCGTTCCGGGCTCATAGAAGACAGCCTTAGTGCACCCGATCCCTAAAAAGGTGACCGCTCAAACCCGTCCAACTACAGGCCTATGACTATGTCGTTAGTTGAGAGAGCGTATGTTTTTGAGGTTATTTTTAAGTCTATCTCGTTCCTAAGATTTTTTTCCTGAGATTGGACTGGTTTGTGAAGTGTGTTTTGGAATTGTTACAGAAAATACGTACTTTGGAAGATGATGAAATCGAGGAAGAATTGCATCGCTTGTTTGGTCTCGATGATCCTGAGATACGAGTATCTGAAGATGAGTTAGAGCCGGAATCAGAAAATATTTCAAACTTAGATGTAATTAATATACTAAATGAATGGATTCAACTCTTGCTCAACTATGTGCAATGAGATAGAGATGTCGTTTCAGATGGAGAACGAATCCAGAAAAAAGTACGCCATCAGTAAGCAAGTCTGAAATCTTGTCGTCCTCATCGAATGCTGAATACGGCTTTTCAAAGATCAGCAAAGACTACAACATCACAATATACATATAGATGAGCTAATATAAGTGAAAAGGGCTACAACGTCTGGGTTCGAGCCGATAGCGAATCAGGCTATGTTTTCCAGTTTGATGTTTACACCGGAAAATGAGATGACCACTCAAGTGAACTAGGATTGGGGGCAAATGTCGTGAAATCTCTCACCCAAAAACTAGTTGATTAAGGGTACAAGGGTCACATTACCTTTGATAATTTCTTTGCTTCATACGAAATAATTCAGTACCTATATGACAAAGGGGAGAAGTGACCTGAAGGTGTACTTTGTTGACCGCTATTGGAACTCGTCACCTAGTAGAACTAGGTGTGCCGATAAATTTGGGTATTGTGTTCCATTACGTGACCGCGAACAGTTTGCACTTACTTTACTTTTCGCTTTTTGCGATGAACCAAACGGAAATGTATTCTGCTATCCGTTTCATCTCTAATTATTAGAGCCGCAGTAAAAACGTAGATTAATATTAGTTTAGGTAGAAATAATACCATGATGTGAAGAAGTGTGGTTATTTGTTTAGAATATATTTTATTAAGCATATTATTTTACTAATGCGCTTAAAAAAACGGAACTTATGTATTGAATAAGTGCAATAAATATAAAAATATAAATTAAATCAATATTTAGTGACACCGCCTTTTGCTTCTATAACCGCCAGAATTCTCATATGCATACTTTCGATCATTGAGCAATTACGTACTACGTACTAGAGGCGACACTGCATTCAGCTACTCTGTTCCACTCAACTGCGGTGCATACACCGCACTTTAATCAGTCACTCGCTAGGCGCTTGTAGAGGTGTCACGTGTTGTGTTGATTTAAAAAAAATCTCTTGATAAAAAATGTGCCGTCGTATGTACTTAGATATTGCACAAATAATTCAAGAAATGTCAGTAAAAACCAAGGAATTACTTTTCATCGGTTAATAAGATACTTAACCAATAAAAAGTATTATGTATTAATAATAAAACAAATTATTTTTAAGACACCATCTCGTGTCCGAGAATATAGATTATGAAATTAATATGTTCAGATGCGACATTTCTGTCGGTACTTAAGTATAGGACGAATATATTATTATACACATATTTTTTTTTGTAGAAACATATAAAAGTTATTATAATTTGGCAAAATTTTTCATGTTTAAATCTGCTTATTATTCTTTTATTTTATTTTTAGGTTTCCATATCAAAGTCAAAGTGGTATAAATTCGTCCATTTTTAGCTCTCGCGTGCCCAGCATTTATGAACGGCTTTTATTCTAATTTAAATAAATTATTTGTAATTTAAATGTTATGTTAATAAGTTTTGTTAAACATACATTTAGTATGTTTTTTATATTTGACTTAGATACCTTTTAAAATATTTAGATAAAAATATCATTAAAATGTAATTGTGATATAATATCATTTAATACTATATTAAATAAACAAATATAATACACAAAATAAATGACAATATTACAATATTGTTCTCGATATAATTTACCTATTTAATTATTCAATCTACTATTACCTACGGATCATTCTACCTGTTTATTCTATGATAAAAAAAACAACCGCGCGAACACGCGAGTAGCGCACATTTTTTGTTTGAGTTAGCTGTCCTAGTACGTAAGTACATATTACTTCGATGATTTCGATACATTTTGAGCTGTTTATCTTAATTGATTCAATCCTGTGCCAAACATCTATCAAACGCTCGATTAGTTGGCGTTGATTAGTGACGAGTTCTCTGAAAATTTCTCGTTTCATCAACTCTCAGAGGTTCTCTGTGGGATTCCCAAGAAATTCCCAGGCCAGTCAAGAACCCTTACTTTCTGGGCATTTAGAACTTTCGTGACCTTTTTTTGCTTTGTGGCAAGGAGCAGAGTCATGCATGAACGTAAATTCGCCATTCGGAAACCTGTCTTGGACCTGGGGCAGCATCTTTGTCTCAAGGACCTGGATATATTGACCCTGCCGCCTCGTTCCTTCCACAGTGTATTGACGACCAGTGTCTTTGCCGCTTATTATGGACCATACCATGATGCTGAGTGGATGTTACACTCGCTTGATTATGCAATCTTCTCTGAATTTCACCCTTCCTTCTTCTTACAAATTTAGCTTTGTCCGATAAAATTTGCACTGACGATTCATCTGAAAAACAAATCTGAAATATTACTTATTATTTTAGTGTACATTTCTGTACACTAAAATAATAATAATAAAAATAATAATAGTAAATATAATAAGGCGTAGGGAATTGACGACCCCCATCGCCCGCTGACGTAACAGTTAAGTGACAAAACTACTACATCAACGCAGTCAGTCAGCGCCTTGCGAGAGTGTGAGCGCCGTGCCGCGGCAGAATTTAGGGTGCAGAGGCCCGTTTATGCTTATGGCTACACACGAAACGGTGCCGGGCCTGGGCGTCTCCCGTTAATGGACGCCCAAATAATGGATGATGGATAAAAAGATAGTGCGCAAAGGGCCGCTGCCTGGGGATCGCCGGGGCGCGTCTGGAGCTGGCGCTGGACGCGGCAGCATGCGGGCCGCCAGCCGAGCGCGAGGCGCTGCACTGTCACCTACCAGCCCTCCGCATCCATCATCCCCACCAGAAGGCTTGGTGTCGGCTGGGTCTTCTCGGACTCAGCAAGCGGCACACGCCGCTGGTGGAGCACGTCGCATGCGTTGGTCACAAGAAATGAAAGCAAACGCACTGCGGGCGTAATTTAGGGCAAAAGGGGAAGAAACTGGATGTTTGGCGTATCGGGCTAGGATGCATCGTCTTTTTTGCTGAGCTGGAGCCATCTTTAACCGTCACAGAGCAAAACCTGGCAGACCGAGTTCGGTATATTTTGCGCTCAAATATATTTGATGTCGCCGAACTCGAACGGCTACGACGTAGGGCTGTTCCCTCGTCGGATGAGAATGCTACGGCTGAGGATGCGGCGCCACAAATGGTAGAGCAACCCGCAAACGTGGATGCCGCCGTGAATACCCCAGTTGTGGTTGATTCAAACGATGACCCACCTTTTCTATATGGATGACCTCAAGTTATTCGCCTCCAGTCGCTCCCATCTTATGGAATTGCTAAACATCACTTGTGAATTTAGCAATTCCATTGGAATGGAGCTGGGGACGGATAAGTGTGCGGTCCTCCATGTTGAAAGGGGAAGGGTTGCTAACTCTGAGGGCGTAGACTTATCTATGCCCGTCAACTTAAGGACCCTTTCCGAGGCTGAAACATACCGATACCTGGGTATATCACAAAACATCGGTATCGATGAGACTGGTATGAAACAGTCAGTTTGCGACGTGTTTTATGCACGCTTGACCAAAGTGCTTAACAGCCTTTTGTCCGGTGTGAATAAGGCACACGCATATAACGGCTGGGTCATGCCTGTCCTCATGTATACCTTTGGCATACTCAGGTGGACTCAGACTGAACTTAACGCCCTGGATAGAAAAGTCCGCACTACCATGACGTCCCATAGGATGCATCATCCGAGATCGTCGGTAATGAGGCTGTACTTGCCGCGGAAGCATGGTGGTCGTGGCTTCTTGAGCGCGCTCACCATGCATAATCGCGAAGTGTGCAGCCTCCGTGATTACTTCCTGGCGAGATCTGATGATCCATTCTATAAGGACGTCATTTCTTGTGATAAAGGACTTACCCCTCTATCCTTAGCCAACGAGCAATGGCAAGACCCGGCAGTGCAGAGCATTTCCGACCGGGAGACCGTATGGAAGGAGAAGGAGCTCCACGGGAGGTTCTACAAGGCTCTACATGAGCCTTTCGTAGACACAGTAGCCTCCCTCCACTGGCTACGCTTTGGTGATCTCTTCGGGGAAACCGAGGGTTTTGTCTGTGCAATACAGGATCAGGTTATTAAGACCAATAACTATCGGAGATACATCCTAAAGGATGGCACCGTCGACATCTGTCGAGCTTGTCGCCATCCCGGTGAGTCACTTAGGCATGTTATCTCCGGTTGTTCGGCGCTTTCTAACTCTGAGTACTTGCACAGGCACAACTTAGTAGCCAGAATTCTACACCCGGAGCTCGCTCTGAAATACGGTCTCGTGGATCGGAAATTACCGTATTACAAGTACTTGCCGGAAGCCGTGCTCGAAAATGATCGCGCCAGGCTCTATTGGGACCGGGCCATCATCACAGACAGGACTATTCTTGCGAATAAGCCTGATATTGTGCTGATGGACCGGGCACAGTCAAGGATATTTTTTGGTCGACATTACCATTCCGTATGACGAGAACCTCGTGAAAGCCGAAACAGACAAGCAAACAAAATATCTGGACCTGGCTCACGAGGTGATCGACATGTGGGGTGGTCTGCCGACCGAAATTATTCCTGTAGTCGTCTCTGCAAATCAATCATTTTCATTTATAATTATATATTTATAGAACCCAACCAGATGAGAAAACTATATAGATACCCCACATAATAATAATAAGCCCCCCTAAACAACCACACGTCCTGATTGACCATCTAATCACGTGGGGGGCGGACACACGAATGAGAAATTACTGACGTGGCTAACGTGGCTCTGGAAACCCATAAATAAAATGGAGACTCGTTCTAAAAGTAAACGTATAGGGCCGCTACCCGGGGGCGATCGCCGGGGTGCACCTGGAGCTGACGCTGGGTGTCACAGCATGCGATCCGTCAGCGGTGAGGAGTTGAACAGGCGGGCTCCCACCCACAAAGATACTACAGCCGAACTCATTGACGATGGTGACAGACTGACGGACAGGACAGACACCCCCTGTAGAACCATATAGTCCAAGCACAGTATCATACACACCCTCGAGGCCAACATCACCATCCATACCATCGTCACCAACACTTCCATC